GCCCGCAATAAATTTTAATAATCCTATTCCAATAAAACAGTGGCGATCCCAGGAATTTTGGGAAGCATCATCGAATTCATGCCGTGAAAATTGTGAGTTTTGTAGCAACAGTGGACAATGTGTGCAGCATTCAAAAATGCTGCACACCTTGCAATTCGACCCTATAATCTGTTGCCAGACTATGGTCGAATTGCAAAGCGGTCGAATTGCAAGACACTGTGAAATTCAAAAATATCAGTACAAAAACGCAAAAAAGTGGCCAAAGCAGGTCAAATTGCGGGGCAAGGGTCGAATTCAAAATCAACCTCACTGCAAATTCGACCATCAAATTGTGGGATGGTCGAATTGCGGGAGGTCGAATTGCGAGGTCCAGTGTGTACTGTATACTGTACTATACTTTATGCATGTCCTGAAATTATTTTGTGTTTTAAGCATCTGGATAAGAAAATATTTCAATGAGAAAAACTAATTTCGATATCGAATTTCGGTATAGGGGCTTGAGCAGTTGGGATTCCTGTGATCTTGTAGAACAGGACCGCTCTGTTACATGGGGCGGTCGTCACATCGCGCGAAACCCAAATGCAACCGTGTCAGAGGATCATTGAGGGATCATTTGGTCTCGGTTAATTCAATGTCTCGCAAGCTTTTTCAGCAGACATTTCGATAATACGAGGAGAGAGACGGTCCAAAAAAATTAAGTGTCGTGCAACAAAATCTTGAAAATCAGGCGTCCAATAGGAATTTCAATGAACTCACTAAAGACTGAAATGTTTCATTTTAAGCAAATTTCTTGTGAGAAAGGATGTGACTAAAATGCCAGAGCCATCCTTGTCCTTTGAATTTTAAAAATACAGTACCCGATTTTGCAACCAATGAGGGTTGAAAAAAAATTTGCCCACCAGTGGATCTTCCATTCCTATGCAAGATTTTGGAGTTCGTGATATTTTACAATTTCCTGCAAGCAAGGTTTTTTAGTGAAAAAATGGGCATTGTGAAAAAATAGCAGTCCCTCACGCAAGTATCGGCGATGCCCCGAAATCATTTAAGGATTTGCAAGTGCTGGAACTGAACGTTTTCAAGTTGCTATTTATTCCCAGATAAAATCTGACACTTTTTCAAAGCTTAAAATTACAAAATAAAAATAACCGATACATGTATTCAAATCGACGAAGTGCTTTGGAACAGAGCATAAAAAAATAATCGAGTAAAGATCCACTTTTCAGAAACTATTGGTACATTTTATGAATGCGTGTGGAAATCAGACGCTCACCTGCTGTACAGCAATCGTTCGGAGTGACATTTTCAGTAGGAAAGAAGTTGTTCTCGAGAATCATGTGAGCATATGAGTTCATGATCCCGAGCTTGTGAAAATTAGGCCAAGAACAATCCCGTTTGTTTCGCCGACGCCACGAAAAACATCAATTCATAGAACCTGAGTTCCGCGTCGCAATTTCAAGGCTTGCCAGCCGATTCCTGCTCTATTTTTCGCCCACCACAAAACGCCGGCCTGTCTTGACGACGAACCAAAAGAAGGTCACATACGCGGTGACCCGGGCTCGGGCAAATTCGCATCATCGCGGGTCGATACGGAAACGATCCCGCCGGGTTTTCAGCGCGTGCCTAGAAACCACCTCGGAAGCAGAACGGCAGGTCGGCCAATCAACCCCCGCTTTTACAACGAAGAACTGGCGGCGAGTCGAGACTGTTGATTGCGTTCTTCCATATATGTTACCTTATTTTTCGGTGCATTTCCGAACGGTGGAGGTAGTACGTCAATACAGTTCCGATATTGTTTGTTTGCTTTCGCTACCGGTGTGCTGTGCCGAAGACTCGATGAAATTATTATTCGGTATCGCCGGTCTCCACGCGCGATATTGTTTTAAAATTGATGAATTCAATGGATCGGTGCTATAAATGTCGGCGAGGAGGGCTTTGCGACTTTCGGGGCGAAAACATGTTTTTCTCGCGTTTTATTTCGCAGTACGGGAACTTGGTGAAATTTATAGATATCGTCTTACGTTAGAAGTTGAGCCACGTTGTACTGTACCTATATACTACTGTATATTCATATGGCTTTTGAATTTAAATTGCTTATACTGTTGCTAATTTTAAGCAAATGCACCTAATCAGATACAGATGTCAATGCTGAAACGTGTGACTGAAACGTACATATTTTTCAAAGAAAATTTCGCCCATCGCTGATCTCGTTCTGGATTTCGTTTGAAAATCAAGAATAACTGCAACATGATTGAGCTTCTACATGAGGCTGCCTCAGTACTTATAGCAGTTGCGAAAATAAAATTTATGGTTGAATTCACGCAGCTAGCGGACAATTCTTTACAAATTCGAAGGTCGAAGTCGTCTTGATCACTTCCGGATCACAAAAATTCTCGATGAATTTTGACGTACCTGCCCTACCTTCACCGTTTGCAAAAAATACCGTTCATAGAGCGAATGAGTATAAAACCGATAGCAACAAAAATAAAGGGAATTGAAACAGCCAGCTCTTCTGTTTCTCCTTCTGGTTGCGAGTCAGATTTCCCATTTGCATGTATATTGAAAGCCTGTGAAAATGACACGAACACTTCATTTAAAATTTGCTTTGTGTATGGTTTTGCTAAATTTCGAGGAAATAGAGATAAAGACAATGTCTAGCACGAAACACTAATAATCAACCCAACCAAAATTCTCCCTCTTGCAGACGAGATTCACGTGGATAATCCCTAAATAAATTTTAGATGAAAATGTGAAACAGAACCAAATCTAACAACCTCGATTGTCAGTTTTAATGGTCTATATTTCAAATTTTATCATTTTCTACTATACATTCAGTTATGCGTCACAAAAACCGGGTTGCGCTTCTGATGCGGGGATTGATTTTTTCTGTAAGGGCCGTCTCAAAAATTGAGAAGCACATCTTCCACCAGACTAGAGCACATGAGTAAATCCGAGGAATTGAGAAAATACGGTCCACGAAAGAAAAAAAAAGACGTACGCAAGTCAATCTAAAAATCTAGAAAAGCCTTCATATCGTAAAATGAAATAAAACATGTATTTTGCTCAGCGTGACCTATAGAGTTCCTTGACGATCAGGCCAATATAGGAGCCAGTCACATATCGCCTGCCAGTCGGCCCTGAATGTGGAACGAGGGAGACAGTCTTGCTCGCGTCTGGCAATACACACGAAACGGGCTTTTCGGTCGTGCCCAAGGTAGCAAAACCCCCGCAGTTGTTGTGGCGTGATGTTCACCCAGCTAGTGAGAGAAAAAAAAGAGAGAATTTTTTCTCAAAAATTCAATCTTCCCCATGAACACGTAAGACTTAAATTGTGTGTGTGTAATAAGATTTTCATCGCAATCCTCATCATTTCCTGAAACTGCCACTTTCTTCAGGGAATACTGGGCCGTATGATACTAGACTTTCATAAACTAGATTTTCAGTCCACCAGCATTCATTTGTCCAATTTGTTTCGTCACAATAGGTAGCTGCTTAATTGCAGTTATTTAATTCCAGCTGAGCATAGTTAGAACGTTAGGCGAAAATTTCTCGTGGTCTTTGAAGCTATGGAAAGTTGAAGGCACAGCATTGAAACTACAACAGGGAAGAATGTGGAATAGTTCAAAAATGCAACTCTTGCTTTGATTGTAGGACTGGGTACAAGTTAATATTCTGATTGAACCTGTCTGAGTTGCTAAAATAAGGCCTATGAAATATATGAGGCCTTATTTTAAAATAAGGCCGATTAAAATCGGGAATAATAACTCCAGCTCCTTTTGAATTTATAATTAACTCTTTATTTTTCTCATAAACTTGTGAGACAAATTGGTTTGCTGGAAACTTTAATTTTTCATTGTCTTATATAACGGCAACCCTAAACGACTTTTTCATCTGGAACATAAAGCAAGGTATTGAAAGAACGATTAAATTACATGTTGCCAACATCTTCTAGCACTATTTCAGATTTACTTGTAAAAGAAAAATTGACAAAATCAGCGGCTTTTCAAATGTTAGAGGCGCCATACTGATCTTTTTGTGCTGGCTAATTCAGGGCAAGTTAATTATAAACACCAAAGATGGATACTTCGTCTAGATGTTTTCAGAACACCTAGAGAATTTTCTTCACATTATTTGGGCAAAAAAAAAATCGTTATCTTGGTGAACCTGAGGTGGAAGAAACGTTTGAGGGGTGCGAAATAGAAAAGCAGCAATTACAGAAGGGCTTGAAAAACGAATTCTTCCCTTAAAAACGTTATTCAAAGCGAGTTTCGGTTAATCTTCTTGCTCTGTTGGTGTCCAATTTTAAAGAGGAACGGCTCATTCGATTTTTAAATTTTGCAATGATGCGATTTGTGTGCCATCACCACGCATTCGAAAAAAGCAGAAGCCATGGATCTAACGAAGCTTGTCAGATAGCGGAGTTCATGCTGCAAGACTCGACGCTTGTATATTACGGTATGTTCCCGTGGAATGGAAGCAATTAAGTTAATTTTGAGGAAAATTGTATTCCAGTCGAAGTAATCCGTCAGACGAATAGGAGTGAAACTCAGTTTGTCTTTTTATAATCTTGCGGTAATGAGGACGACATCATCATTTGCTTCGAAGGTTACTCGTACAGTGAATGTCGTTGGTTTCCCTTTCTCGACGGAAACCCTTTACAGATGCGTAGGCTGCTTGAATAGACCTCCGCGTCGGTCCTTGAAAACCCTGCTGCTATATACAGTGAACGTAAGTCAACTCTCTCCCACCCCAGGCCCACACACAGTAAAAAAAGAAAGAAGAAAAATAAACCGCGCGGAAACCCCGCAGTTGCCAGTGTCAGACCGAAGGTCGAACCTAATCGTCATCACAGCCGATCCTGAAGTTGCGAGGCCGCATCAAAGTTTCAAAAACCCGCCGCGTTCCCCAACATCGATTCATCTTCGTGACGCGACTCGCATGGGATCCATGGCTTGACGTCGGGGCCCCGTGGCGCACGATGAGCCGTGGGAACCCCCCTCGACATGGGCAGTGGTTCGTCGAAGTCGGGCGCCACTGCCGGGACCGCGGCCGGAGGTGTTAGGCACCAGTTCGCGGCCAGGGAGCCCCGCGACGTCGAGTTTCTTGAGCCAGAGTCGACGCCGTCAGGTCAGGCGACGCAGGACGTGCGACAGCAGCGCTGGGCCAGGCGCGACACGGTGCAGAGTTTCTCAGCGACGGCGGAAGCGACGCGAACGGCGAGACTGAGGAAAAAGTCGTCCAAGTCCGACGGCCATGTCGACACGGACGAGGAGGTGGACGAGTTGGAAACGACTCTCAACTCTCTCGGTGTCGTGGGTCGGAGTCTGTGGGACGACGCTCAGGCGTACGATGCTGTGAAGACGACCCGGAAATCGGGCCAGGGGCTGTTGTTCGACGCCGACGACGAGGATCCCACGATTGCTCGGGAACTGCCTGTCAGGAATATCGGGGCTTCCTCTCTCGGTGTGGCCAAAACCCGACGAGTGGGTGGCAGGAAAAGTCTGCGCAACTTCCAGTTCAGCTGGGAGAAGAGCGTCAAGGAGGACAACGTGGGCGACGAGTGGGATTACAAAGGCGTGAGTACTTTCCCTCCCGACCAACCCACGAACTTCCGTATGGCACCGTTTCCAACCAGGTCCGCATTCAAAACGCCCTACGAATCGCCTCCGCTGCAAGGTAGCATGACGAACTCGTAAAACCGTCGCATTTCTACAACGAATCCCTCCACGAAACCCCAGAGCGGCGCTCCTTCGCAAGAATCAAACGCCTTTTCTGGCATCATTCATAGCCCAACATTTCGGATACGAGTAACATTTTGAGCTTAAGACGAAGAAAAACTCCACGCCCATCACTCGGCTTCTCCATAACATTCCATTACACTTCATTGAAGCCTTATGATAATATAGTACAGTGCTGAAAACAGGGGTTGTAGTACGAATGGAAGTATGTATTTTTACGTACATTTGCTGGTGTTAATGTAGAGGCGGTTAACTAACTCTAATTGGATAATACGCAGAACAGACATGTTCCTCTAGATTATTGCTTGCGTGCGACAATAAAGACCGCACCCAATTTTCGGACAGCAATTGAGGCGGGGGGCTACAAGCCATACATTTTCATATTATTTATATTTCCGAAATGTTCATATTTGCTGTATGTTTTACGCGATACTTCCCTCAAAAAACTGCGACCCTAACTTCGAATGTGGCCTATTATCACGTGAATAAGATAGGTTTTGGTCTCTGCAGAGAATCTAGTTTAAATGCAAAACCATATTCACTGCCATATACTGTATATGAAGCACATGCATCAGAATAAGAGCGTTTATACACTTCTTCCTCTTTTTCATCCAGCTTAAATTTTATAAGCTTGGGAAAACCAAGAAATAGTGTGGTAGCGCTTTTAATTTGTGGTTTAGCAATAACTCTAATTACAAATGTTTCATCGAAATACAATATTTAAAAATTGGGGGAAATTTTCCAAAAATAGAAAAAACTGCAATTTTTCATGAAAATGCGGTATGTACCGAGAGGAAGGCCTCGATAAAATGCAAGTACTGTACATTTATTATTTCATATCCTGGCCCATTCATTACATCTAAATAAAGATGGGCGTTGTTTTTGGAACTTTTTGGCACAATTTCCACTTTCTCCATTATAGTCATACTCAAGCATATGTTACCATTTCTAGCTCCTCGTACATTTCGAGTACATTCCACATGGATGATGATTTGAAGTTCGACCGAGAATCAAACATCTCGAAAATAGGCAACAACCAAGTTTCTTTTGTGGAAATGTTAGGGTCTGGTGGTACCTATGACAGCATTAGTAAGATACAGTACTAATTGGGGCACCAAAACAATGTTTTCGTGGTTTTCATGAAATTTTTTATTGTAAAGAAGCCACGTCTACCTCAGAGGAAGGTACATTGTTACAAACATTAGAAAATTCGTTGCATGGAAGCAATCGCTGTTGAACTATTTTTAGGAATTCCATCCACCTGCATTTTCCCCGAATCTTCTAATTCTCCGGTTAAAAACGCGTTTCCTCCTTGGCTCACGGGTTTCCTTCAGTCTGAGGTCATTAAACTCGATTCACGCTTTCGCGTTGAAATTAGCATCACAGTTATACGGGAAATAATGTTTTGGAACTTTTTCCGAATATTCCCACGCGTCATGTTTGCCTGCCACAGGAAGAAGCGGTTTTAAAACGATGCTCGTGAGTCTCGAGCGAAGTCGCGTCGATGGACTTCTCATGGTTTCTGTGGCATTTCAGTAATGCTCTTTTAACCTTGCCTTGCGTCTCGTGCGACGCATCAAATTCAGTACCACCGGATCTTCTTCCCGTGAAGATGACGTAAGACGAGGAGTAAAATATGAAGAGCATCATTTTGTCCTTCATTCATTAAGTTTCTGAATAATGACCGGCAAAGTCGGCCCTTGGGCAGGGCTGTCGTGGGTCCTGTATTTGTCTTTCAGATTTCGTCATTAATGGAAGCTATGGACTTACGACTTTCCTTATAGCATTGCTTTCCGAAACATGTATTTTTGCTTCGAGCAGGCCAAGTAAAGTCTACCGATGACATGCGCATGAATTCAACGGCAACAGTAAATTGTTTCCACGGGGATTCTCGGGCAACTATAGACCCATAAAATGATAACATGGGGATAATTCTGAAAGTTCTCACCATGGTACAGTACTACAGAAGTCTGATCATCCGGGCTTCGATTAACCTTGCATTCCAATTACCGCGCCCGCATTTCGATTTGATTAAAAGGAAAGGAACATTCGGAGGAAATATATTTGCCTGTATGATTTCCAAGAGAGGCACTTTATTTTCCTTTGATTGTCTTGCTCTGATTAGGCAGTTCAAGATTTCAGGAATTCAGTATTTTCGTGTTCAGGTATTATTGAATTTGTTCACCTCTTGAGCGGCATTTTTCCCAGTACAGGTACAGTATTCAATGTTCCGTGATACTCGTCATCCTAGGGTACAGTTTCTCATTTTTTATTGAAATAAGAAAAATTCGGAAAAATTTTGACACCTCTTAGACAATGATTCCTATCTTCCCATTTCCTGTAGGATTAGCAGCAATTGAGTTAAACGGAGTTATACCCTGCATATAAAAGACTGAACAGTTTCCCTCTCCTACGCAAAAATCAGATTACGTCGTTGTTGAAGGCATGATGCCAGGATGTTCTTTTCTTTATCAATACCCTACCTATTTTTGACACAAAAATACTTTTTGAAACTTTTCGACAAAGAATGTGTTCACACCCTCGTCATTTTGTGACTCTTATATAGCGGCCTGTCCAAAAGTGTAATTGGTATTCATACAGTGTTTAGGTTCAGTTAAAAGTTGCATTAATTTTCAGTGAGTAAAATTTTCTTTAAAAAAGGCTGTTTAGCAAATTTATCATACCGAGACCCAACAATTTTTTGGCATGCCCCGCGGACCCGCCAACATTTATTTGAGCAAGATTATTTATTCTGTAATAAGATTTGCTGTATTGATATTTTACTGCGCTTCACAGGAAAATTCGATTTTTATGATATTTGAAGTACTGCATTGCTCTAGAAAACGCTGACAAAAAAGTTTTTAGCTTGGTCAATTAAGTCGAATAAATTTCTCAACGCGTAACCGTGGAAGCTACAAAGAAGGGGATTCAAAAGTTCGCCGAAGAAAAAAATTTATTTCCCCATTGAAGAACTCATGAAAAAGATTTGCATCAAGTAATATAACCGGTCCGCTGAAGAAATGCATGTACAGTATTTCGATTTCCGGCTTCGTCGATTCTCCTCGACAGCTATGGCATTGCGACTCGAATCCTCGGCAGAGTCGGATGATCCGAAAATCTTATTTTCGATCAGGAATAAATCATCGACTTAAACATTTTTTGCGATATAAAATCGTCTGCGAAGCTCGTATTGCCACGGTTTGGCAATCGTGTCTGCGCAGAGGCTTTTCGAAACAACAGTTTTTATGTTACGTGATTACTAGACTGAAGCGATTGCGTTTCACTGGAACATTTGGTCGGGTTCAGGTCCGACTTGACGGCACTATTGGATCATAAATTTCCAGGACTTCAAGCCGTCTTCAACCGGCTTTCGTGAGCATAGCCATGAGATTCGGATGTGCACTGAGCACATTTCCGTATTTTTACACCGGAAGGAAATCCGATTCTCGGGCTTCGAGAGAGCCCAACACCTCCAAATTTCGTCATTTGCGAGTTACCTACGTTGTCACGAGTATAACTATATTCCTGGTTCTTTCCTTGAAACTGTATATATATTTTTATTCAGAACTTATGGACAATCTTTTAATAAGAAACTAGTCCGCATATAGAAAGCTAATCCTATTATTTTAATTCGAGGTACGAGAAAAGTTCGAAAAAGGGATTCAACACGCATGCCGTACGTATTGACTCGATTCTCTAGCCGTAATAGTATACCAGTATTGTTCACGTATAATTTTCCCATTTCGAATTTTCGCCACAGGTTCGTGACCTGATTGACTTGTGGTCGGAGCCCATTTGGAATAAATTTCTATGACGGAGTCCTCAATGTAGATCATATCTAATGTCTCGTCCTTGAATCATGTTTAGATGCCAGTTCTTACCGTTTTCCAGGGCCAGCTCCTGGGGCCAACGAATATACCTTGATGCACATTCATTAGTTGATTTTTAAAATCATCCACGATTTTCTAATTTTTTTGATTAATCATTGTGATCTTACTGTTCTATAAATGACACCTAATCGAAAATCATTGCGATTAGCTTTTCGTGGCGCATCCTTGGTGCGTACTGGCGAACAAACCGTGACTATCGAAGTAAGCTTATTTTTTCCCTGAGGTACGACAAATCCATTTATTGAATCATGCTTATCCATATCTCTCCGAGGAAAAGAATCCGATAAAGGAAATAAATGAACCGAATCGACTTTCTCTGGTCATTTAGGTGAAGAGAAATGCCCAAAGGAAGTGGTTCGGGGTAGTACGCAGATGTTGCCGCATAGGACAACTGCATTCCGATTTTCTGCCGCAGGATAAAGATAGAAAAGAAACTCGTTGTCGCATGCTTGATATGTTGCAAGAGTATGGGCTATATTTACGGATGATGACCTACGTTTTCCAGGCATTGGGAAACCAGCGGACAGCGGTTTAATCCAGCGGAAGTGCTTTTTCATGATTACACAAATAACGAGTCTCCCGGAACGACCTGTGCGATTCAATGTTCGTTTTCTCTCTTGATTACAGAACAACATCGAAGGTGTCGACATCGAAAAATTCAAAGCCGTCAACTCGGTGAGCTTCGATTCCTCACTAATTTAAGAAACCATTAGACAAGATAAACTAAGTTGGATAGGATGCTGGATTCGTTTTTATTAATCTGGTGCCTCTAGACGTGGCGTTTTACACGTCTGTGGGCATAAATTACTCACTTTAAACGCATGATGAGAACACAAAATTGATCATTGAGACAAACGATTTTGTTTCAATCAGTGACTCAAACTCCACATTTTGAAAGCTGAACTAGTTAACTGATCATGTCTGGAATTGATCGATGAGAGCACTTCAACGTATTCCATGCGTTCTAAAACATTTGACAAGGCTTTCAGTGTCGCATAACATGGTAATCTTCGTGTTCCGCTTGGATTGTCAATTCATCACTGATTTCAAGTTTTCTCTTCCAATCTAGCTGTGGATATAATTTGTGAATGAATCAACGTGTACCCCGATCATATGACGCTTTACTTTACACAAAAAGGCACCAAGCTGAAGAGCAATATTGGTTTCTTGTACAGTATGTACGGTATTCAGAACATTCTTGTATTTATACATATATTTTTTTGTTTTGTTTTTTGCTATTATGTTTTTCTGTTATCGATAACATGAAATTGCAAATTCGTCATACTTTTCCACTGGAGTTCCATGAAAAAAGTACGAGTAACTGTAAAACTTCGCAGCGCTTACCTTACCAGAATATAAAAGGGACTTATATCTCGTGTGCATAAAAATGATTTTGCCTTGGAGTGTTGCACGCAATTTTACGGCTTTAAAGTCATACGGAATCAGAGTAGCTTGTCGATTCTATTTTTAATTCAGTTACTGACTTTATCTCCTCAAACACTTCCAAGAGAAATTATAATCCGAATACTGGCGTCCATGTGTTTAAAATTATAGCACAGATATATGTTTAATTAAATTTTAGGATGTTTTATTCAAACGATTGTTTCAGCCAAAAACAGTTAGGCACTTTACCTGTGAACCCAGGGCACCACAAATGTAAGATGTTAGCTAATCAAACGTTAGAAAAATAAGAGCATCTTATCACATGCGAATAAAGGTCGCATGAGTGGCGTCCACCGAAACGGACACCTTCGCTTCGTCTTCAAGCAGAAAACACATGAATAAAATAGTTAAAGCCTTCGAAAGCTCAAAAATAGACAAACCTATTTTGCGGTCGTCTACTTTCTGCTTTGGGTTCACAGTTGGCGGAGTCCAAGCGTCAGGAACCACCCCGACTGCTCCAGCGCTCCACGTCTGACCCTATCGACACCACGCCGTCCTTACCGAAAGCGGTACCGAAATACGACGAGAGCGACGCCAAGCTGCTGGCAAGCATCGAAAATGAGTTCGTCTACTGATCATAGGTTTGGATTACGTTGGCTTTTCCTCATTTAATCCGTGGCGGAGATTGGCTGGTTCGCGCAAACGCTTTCTTCGGATTCCCTCAGAGTAAGCATGCGGCTCTCATAAACATTCCCCCGCTTTTCTGCGGGAAAGTGACGCAGGACAGCGAATTCCGGCGTTCGGTACAAGATGTCGAGAATTCAAACTATCAGAACCTTCTTAAGCGTATGATTCCGCAAAAAAAAAAAGAAGCAAACTGCATTACTCGAATATGAGGCGCAATCGTTTCCGAGAAGGGCCTCAAAAATGTTTTTTGATCTCAAACCAAATAAAAAAAGCAGAGAATCTGTCCAGTGACTCACGATGTACTGGAAGGGAATCAAGTGTACAGGGTTTTTAACTTCTCCAATTTTCTTACTATGCTGCAGTATACCGTACTTATCAGTGATGAAAACTGAACGCATTGCGCATCGTGAAATAAAAATCAATTCCCACCTTTACTTTTATATTAACTGATAGTCTGCGAACGATATAAAGCTAAAAAAAAAAACGTAGATGAACAATATTCCCGATGCTTTCCCACATTTACGCTTTGAATTTTCACTTATAAATATTTAGCTCAGATCAAACCGCAGACTTATCCTCAGAGACAGCTATATTCTCGATGCGTTAGTGAAAGATTATATGGGTGCAAAGTTTGAAATACTCCATAAAATAATGCATGCTTACGATTGCCGCCTTTAGAATGCTCCTCGGTTTTCTTGCATTAAAACTCGAAAAAAGCTGCCTTGATGCTCTCAGGTCTGATCAAAGTATCTCCGTTGTATCCTTAAGCTCCTGAAGCATTATTTCGAACGTGTATAGAGGCGGAGAAGCGATTACGATGGCTCATCTACGTGCTGATCAAAAATTTAAATTTGAAAGAATTATAAAAGAGAAATTTCCTTAGAGGCAGCAAATGTCACGAGAAATCCGCTCAGTCGCGCTCTCGTAAACCAGATGGGCACAAAATCTCAGTTTCCTTGCTGGGCCGGCTATATAATCGTGTTCATCCAGAAAACAAGATGTCATCTGTCCGAAGGAACCGTCCAGAACAGAGTCATGATCATTTCCTCATCCAGTCGCAAATAAAAATTATGTCGCCCGAGGCGCCCGAAGGAAACGCTTGCGAAACATCGCCCAGTTATATACCGAGCATCTTCCGGGGCATGATGCAGAACCATTCAAATGAATCGCAATGATTCGTCTTCCGCTTGCAGCAAAATTTCCGTGAACGGTTTTTGACGTCCACACGATACCCACTTCTCATTGACGGCAACCGCTTGCGACTCTCGACCCCGGGGCACTTGGACGAGGATTGCTTTGTGATGCGCGTTTCATGGCAATGAGCATTAAAATCTCGACGCATTATTTATCCAGATCCCCGCAAGCGCTTATTATTTCAAAACCTGTGCTGCTAATCAGGCACATAAAGGATGCAATGCCACTTGACAGTTATCTTTCATCCTGATCGCATCAGTCTTCGAATCATCATCAACGTCCGAGAGCAAAATGCGCTGACCACTGCTTGTGACCGCAGATTTATTCCCGGAAATTCTACCTTTCGCACCTCTTTAAGCGTATGAATTATGGTCTGCTCCAACACGTGAACACGTTTCTTCATAATCGTTTTTTTTTTCGCGATTCGGAAACGCTTCAATTTTGCAATAGCATGATCAACACGTTTTTTTCTATAATAAATAATGTATGAATGTCATTTTCGCTGGTTTAATTAAGTTTTAAAATTCTACGATCCCGCAGAATGTTCTACAACGACCCTGTTCCGTCATTTTTATTTCCAATCTTTATGCTAATGATCATTTTAGCAAAATAAAGTGGATAGATGTCACTCTTAAAAAATGTAAACGCTAGAAATTTTCAGTCTCTTCTAAGAGTCTCTGGAGCAATTTAATTCCAGCCGAAATCCTGAGCGTTTTAGCGAAACGTTATTGAGCAATAATTCAAAAACTCGCTCGAACTTTATTTCTTAAATCTAGTTGCTCAAGGACCAAAGTTTCTGTGCCAGAATTCTACAATTATCTGAAGCCCCTTCACTGTGGAATGATTCGAAGCAACCCCACGTTGATTTTTTGAGGAATTATTCTAATTGCCAGAGCCCTGAATCCGGCGACTTATTCTTACTCGCCAATTAATATTTGGGGCAACTTTCACGTACAGCAACAACAAAAAAGAAACAGCAAGCAGTTTTTCTTATTGAACATTGTCTTCAGAGCTGGGACAACGTTTCGGCAAGGATTTTAGTTATTGAAAACATTTTTAGAATGATGAAAAATTATGCAACCAAAAGATTGCTGGTAAACTTAATTCCCTGATGCAATGATGGGATTTATTCTGAACGCTGTGTCTTCGTTCCATTTCATTCTAAGTGAGTATAATTGAGAAAAATGTAAAGGGTATGATGAAGTTTTTGCTGAAAATGACGGTGCCACCCATTCAACCATACTCCACGGAGTTTGTCATAAAACTAGCAGAACTTATGAACCAGCGTTTATAAATGCATTAATTTTTAAACTGTAAAAATGCTCAAAATGAGAACTGAAACACTAATTGCCAGAATAAGCTTCCATTTTTTTCCCGTCCATCTGAAAGCAAAGCTGAAACAGGTGCTAGTTCAAAGGGAAATAGAAACGCCTTTCTTCAATAAAACAGGTGAGTCAACGACAGCGCAGACATGAATAAAAAAAATCAACAACAGATAGTATGACAAGCTGTCTTCTACATAAACAGCCTTTGTGTATTTTATAGCCCCCCAAATAACGTTTATGATGTAAAGTACAGTAGATCATTCATTTGACTCTAAAATCGTTTCAATCGCTCAAGGGCGACTCGCCAGTTTGAACATTATGTATCGTCATTTTCCTGGCTATAAAGTTGATGTTGACGGTAAACTAACCGTTTTACGACTTGCCGATTCAATGAGCTCTTCGGAGATATACGGTGTGGCTGGTCGAAGTAAAAACGCTGCTCGGGTAGGGTCGACATGCTACTAATCAAAACGAGTGAGTGAGGTGCGGCCTTTGACTCCTTCCGCTTCGGGGATGCTCCACAGGAACTGCTAACCTTTTTTCCTTCCATTCAAAACCTTCTGTGGTATACAGAGGCACACGGCGAGCGGAAAAACGGCATCTGAACGTGTGAATTCCGGTTATTGTTTTCGAAGCTCAGCGCAATCTCTCCGTGATCATAAAAAATGAAATAAAAAGGAGTTACCCGCCAACGTATCCGACTGCCATCGCACTCCAAAGCCAAACAAGCATTTTTCCTCTGCATTTGTTCTTCTTCCGTAACGGACATCGACCCATTTCTATCCCGCTCCACTTGATTACGGTTCATTCACCAAGGAACCAGCTCTTTTTGTATGCATGGCGCTGCGTGATCGACTCAGCGAGTGGCTCGATCTTCGGCGTAATAGCGTACTTCACATGTGGCTCAACCTTCTCGTTGAACCTTCTCGCTTCACTGAGTACATCCCCGTGCATTTCCTCTCACGCATTCAGAAAAATAGCTTCAATTCAGGGAGTCTGAATAAAATCCCGAGACTCCTACGCCGTACCTAGTTATTCAAGAAACTTCAGATTTGCAATGCAATCGAGTTCGCTTGGTAGATGCGGCCAAGATGTCGATGCTCCGGGGATGTTCTATAAGTTTCGAAGCTCATACATTCACTGTCACTGCATGGAGATGGTTCCAATTTCTTCGCATGTAATGCATATATACAGCATAATATTCTTCTTTGAAAAAGAAAAACTATATTTTCCCGACCACGTTAGAAGAAAGAGAAGTGCATCATCCGCCTGTGACGTGGAACAAATGGATTGGATTTGGCATTTAAAAATGTATAAAGATGGACTCTCTACAACGAAATTCAAGGAAAAAGAAAAGCTTCATAGTAGTGACAATTTCTTCGTAGAGAAACCCTATAACAGTTCTCTATAACGGAATCACAACAAATCTCACCGGATTATCTCCCCCTATAACAGGGAGAGAGAAGTGAGACCAAAAAATAATTTCGCTATGCGACTGTACACAGAAAATCGTTGTAGACAATAAAGATGTTGTAATGTTTAGAGAGTCCCCCTGTACATTAGAAGGAAGTAGAAAGAATATTCATCTACTTTGACTCGTTCTCGAATGACGAGAACGTGAATTATAATTATTTTTTGTTATTACAGTACAAGAACTCCCCTTTCACTTTAAAAACTTGTGGACCGTCCCTCGCATTTTGCTGTACAAAACTGTGATCATTTCGCTGCATAATTCGCGGGATTTTCCTTCATATGTCAGCATACGCGGAGAAATAACCAGGTGGTGGTCTTAAGCATCGCTTCAGCTTTCATTCCCGATAATCACAACACTGCGGTCGAATAAATCTTCCGCGCGATGAACTCTGCTCAACAATGGGAGGAAAGATAAAAGGGTTCCCATTATGTCCATTCAGTACCTCTTTTAATAAATCCTCAGCTTGCACTGTCATTTATTTGCCCGAGAAGAGATCGATTCCCCTTCTCGTGGAAGAACGAGCTTCAACAACCTGTGTCCAAATTGTGATCAGGAGCGTTCAATGAGTTTATCCGTTAGCATGTGACGTTCATCAATTCATTGCTCGAACGAGCACAAAACATTCAATGCGACATTCCTTTCCAATTGGAATGAGTTGAATTCATCACCATTTTCTATTTGGAAACGAGAGCATTGAGTACCGTTTTCACTCGATTGTATGCCACTCTTCCTTTGCTGAGAATGCTGCTTGAAAACGCTGATGCGTCCTATCCATACTCGACGATTTCGTGTACAGTACAGTATAATTCGCTGTAGAGACTGCAAAGACTAAAATAATGTAACATATGCCCGTGATAATGTCTCCGAATAACGCTGACATATTTATCGGATGTATCGGGTGTAACATACGCATCCTTGACGCTTAAAAGTTATACCATTTCATTTAAAGACTGCTGTATTTTTTATTCATGTCGAGGTACGTCAAAGTTTGAATGCCTCAATGTTTGAATCGCTGCTGGAGAGCTCACAGACAGAATTTAATTACAGTATGATGATTTAATGACTCGTTTAGGCCGCGTGTGTCTACAGGAATGTAGGACCTACCCACAGTTTGAGCAGCAAGAAACGTGGGCATATTTTTCGCATATTGGGAAAATGCGGTCTACACACGAACAAAACGGGAATTAAAAAAAAACTAACATCACCTCCAGTATTACGGGAGGCTTTGGTACGGCCTATAAGAAATAATCTCCCGTTTTTGCCGTGCCCAAGTTTCCAGGAAATTTTCTGGGGAAAAATCGATTCCGGCCGACAATAGCGTGAATGAACTACTACAGTATATTTATTTGTGCATGGTCTGAATTTTTGTTGGTGCAAACGACAAACTTTTTTGGGCCCACGCTGCTCTCACGCGGTCGCAAAAATTTATTGTACAGTACTATATATACATTCTCATGTACTGTATAACCGAGTATCACGCGCCCCTTTGGATAAGATGCCCATCCTGTTTTTTTAAGGAAAAGATCGAGATAATTTCTTATAAATCCCTTCGTAATTTTTCCTTGGACGTAAGATGTACCCGCATTCTTTCTTTTTGATTTTTGTAGGAAAAAGTGCTCGGGGTGCGTAAGTAGATACGGTTTATTGCGATCGAGACAGTTGCTGTTGTGGTGTCATCCGAAGGCGCGTCGCCTTAATTTATTTTTTCTGTCGCGGAGTGCACCTGAATTATCAAATAATCTCACTGCTTAGCGGCTGGTAATCAGAGCACTAATCAGCTTGCATTCAAGAAGAGCTCTCGGCATCTACGGATCTCAAACGCCTCCTCAGGTACCCACAAAAAATGAAGGAAAAAAAACTGGTAGAAGTTTCTCATCCCATGGATATGCTTCCCAAGATACAAGTGGATGCATGCATGGCGAAGTCAAGGTCTGCTATCAACATCGACGCGGAGGCACAAGTATCTCTCGAGACGTTTCAGGATTGATCTGGTCGCGCAGCGGAGGTTAATGCCCACACAAGACTCCGTCTGTCGGTTCCCAGGAATTCCTGGCCCAGGTGAAATCCAACACTGTCTTTTGCTTTAAGTAGTCACCACCAGAGGGTTAACTTACAAAGCGAAGCGTCAGTCGAGAAGTTCGAACAGGGATGTCGTCATAAAAATGTTGCGCGGCGATCTGAAATAAGCGCTGTTGGAAACTACAGTACATAATTAATGCGGTCCTAGAATATCAACCACGTGAACAAGAAAACAAAGCGGTGATTGAAAATCTCGGATGAAAGTTTGACCTTCGTTCGGCGTCTTTTCTCAATTATAAAAGATTTGATGTGTACATCAAAATGTGGATTTAATCGTATCTG